GCAAGTAATGAAAGGTTTTCTGCATGGCAGAGAGTATTTTATGAATCAGAAAAGTAGTATAGTAGAGTGGTGAAGAGTGTTCACCCTAAATCCAGAATGTCTGGATTGAATCCTAGCTCTACCACTTAATACCTCTGTAACCATCAGCAAGTTATTCAATCTTTTAGTGTCTCTGTTTTCTCATCCATAAAATGGGGATCATACCAATACCTACTTCAAAGATCTATGGGGGCACCTGGATGGCTCAGTGGGTTAAGCCTCTGCCTTCAGCTCAGGTCATGATCTCAGGGCCCTGGGACTGAGCCCCGCAATGGGCTCTCTGCTCAGCAAGGAGCCTGCATCCCCCCCTCTCTCTGCCTGCCTCTCTGCCCATTTGTGATCTCTGTGTGTCAAATAAATAAATAAAATCTAAAAAAAAAAAAAAAAGATCTATGAGGACTGAATGAATTAAAATGTGCAAAATACCTGGAAAGGTATCTGGCACATAGTAAGCACTTGATAAAAGTTAGCTATAAAATTATCACCATCTTCATAGTCCAGCTAAGGATCCGTGAGTACCAAACTGAGAAACCACAGCCATAAATCAAAACAGTAACTGCACTTTGCAAATTCTCTCCAACAATTTAATCCTGTAAAAAGAGAATTTTTTTTTTTTGCTAGCCCATGTTTATGTAATAGTTTCTCATGTAGAAAAAAAAAAAAAATACCAGATTGTACTAAGAGTTCCTTCAAATGAGGTGGAAGGGGTAAAAAGTAAGGGGAGGCAGAAGAAAAAAAGACTGGCCATTAAGTTGATAACTAATGAAGTGGGTTAATCAGTACAAGGTCTGGGGTGGGGTGTAAAATATTTAGTTTGTATCAAAAATAGCTGAAGGGGCTTAACAGATTTTCTGCTCTACAAATGATTCTATTTTTCTATATCCTGCCTTTCTTAAAAAACTCACTTAAATTCTCAGACCACCTTCTAAATAAAATAGACCAACCCATTCAATGGTTAGAAACAAGACAACATGGGACACCTGGGTGGCTCAGTGGGCTAAGCGTCTGCTTTCAGCTTGGGTCATGGTCCAGGGTCCTAGGATCCAGTTCCACATGGGGCTCCTTGCTCAGCAGGGAGCCTGCTTCCCCCTCTGCCTGCCATTCCTCCTGCTTGTGCTTGTGCACGCGCTCTCTCTGATACATAAATAAATAAATTACTTTTATTTTTTTTTAATAAATAAATTATTTTTAAAAAGAAACAAGACAACATAGAAATATCATGAACACAGTAATTTCCATTTTGTCCTACTAGTTCTTCAGAGCACTTGTTAATTCATTAGTGTCTGGTCCAATCCATCTGCTCCAACTGGGAATTTCCAGCACTATACCCCAAAAAAGTTCTGCTGTAATTATTCTGGATACTCAGGATTTTAGGATAAAGACAATCTTTATCTGCATCATCACTGTCATCATAATAAATAATTTGAAAGTTCTGTATATGCTAGAACCTATGCTAAAATAAATAATCTTTTTAAACCTAGACAGCAATTCTATGAGATAATTATTACCTCTACTTACAGATCAGAAATTGGGGCTCGCAATTTAAGTGTAGAGTCACCTAAGTATTAAATGATGGAATTAAGGTCTGGATCCAGGTCTAATTCTAAAGTCTGCATTTTTCTACTTTTCCACATTGATTTCTATTTTGCATTAAAAATGGGAGGGACAAATGAAGTAAAGAAATGAAAATCTGGTTATCTGAACATCAAGTCCGAAAAGAGCCATATCTTACAAACAAAAAAACAAAAAACCACAAAACAAAAAAAGCCGTATCTTGAACCTGCTGACAACCATAGCAATCATTTCTTTCACTAATTATAAGCATCTTTCTGATAAATAGAAATTAAAACAATTCAAGTTCTTGATTAATACACAAAATTATGCCAGCAAATATTTACTGACAGCTCACTTTGTGCCAAACACTGTTCTAGTTGCTTGAGGATACAGAAGCAAAGAAGACCTAGTTCTATCATCTGGTGGGAGAAGACAAACAATAAACATGTAAACAAATAAGCAAGGTAATTTCATATACTGAAAACAATGTGAAGTGACCACCTGGAATAAGGTCAATTAAGAGAGGGCCTTTCTGAACAGGTAATACAGGAGCTTGAAATCTAAATGATGAGGAAATGGAACTGGAAGAAGCCTGAGAGGCAGTAGCAAGGCAGATAGTGCAGGAACTTGTAGACCACAATAAAGAAATTTAGATTTTAACCTGTTGCAATGGGACATCAATGGAGGATTCTGAAACACAGTAATGACATCTGTTTATGCTATAGAAAGATCAGTTTTTAAAATGATGGCAATAAATGCTTCAGGACAAATTTAAAAAAGCCTAAATAAAATCAGTTAGAACCTAGCCATGGAGTGTATCTCCCAGAAGCCTACTTGCTTTCTCCAAATTATTTCCTTTAAAATCAACAAAAGCCTCTCATTACAACATATGAAATAAAGGGTCATATGAAAATATCTTTGGAAGAGCTAATACACTTAAATTCACACTGAAGTCTAAACACAAATTATTAAATAATGGATGCCAAAATAAAAAAGAGAAGCAAAAGTAACATCAGGAAAACAGACACAAAGGCTGGGAATGCCAGAGACACCGATTTCACAAACTTGCCTAAAGCTGACTTAGAAACCAAACTCAAACTAAAATAATCCCAACTGTAAAGAAATATGAAACTAAATGAAGCCTAATGCATCAACTATTTTCATTGTGCCCTTCATTACTCTCCTGAAAATTTCTCTCAAAGGCTTTATTTACATTGAAATAGATGATGTTCATTAAAGATAAACACAAAATGACTACAAATAACCCTTAACCATTTTTAGAAAGTTCCATTCCACTAGGAAAAAAAGAATCAAGTTTTTAGAAAGCCAAAAGCATTTAACTACATCAACTACATATAATGCACTTCAAATCAAGTATTTTACTAGAGAAATCACTTTTTCACTCAAGATATCAACAGGGGAAATAAGCTCGGGCAAAATATCAACAATAGTAGAGGCAGAAAACTTCTGGCTCCAGTATATCTCATTATTGCTAACTAGAAAAAAAAAAATTCTAATTGTCATTTGAAATCCCACAAGGCAGGAATGGGGGACCAACTTAGTCTTGCAAATGATGTAACCATGCAATTAAAGCACCAGAGCTCAAAGGTAGGAAATGTTAAATGCTTATATAATTTTGTACAAATGTTTCAAGACAATTAAAGAACGTATGTTCTCAGACTTGTATGAGCATTTGCTACCACGGTGTACCATTGGTACACCTGGTGTACCAAGTACATTAAAGAACAATTTGCTTTTAATCTTGAAAACATTACTACAAAGTTAAATGTGGTCATTGTCATCTGATATGGTGGAGTCAAATCCTAACTCCACACTTTTTCTGTGTAATCTTAAGCAATTTACTTAACACTTCAGGGCTTTAGTTTCCCCATATGTAAATCAATGATTTAAAAAAAAAAAATCTACTTCTTAGGGTTATTTTAAAGTATAATGAGATAGATATATTGTAAATGGCAATAAAGGGTTGGGCACATAGCAGATCCTTAAACATGTGAGTCTTTAATGATGACTGTTATCATAGTTTATATTGTATGTTCTAATTTTACTTCTTCGGAAGAAAGTAACTCTAATCTATTGGTAAATATTGGTAATCTTGTCTTGGTTCTACAATCTTTTCAGTATATATTACTCCAAGTGCTACAAAACATCTCTACCAACAATAACTTTACACACATAGTCTGAAGATTGGGGCCTATGATTTTGTAAGCTTTATCCATCTATTCCCTCAAAGGTTAACACAAATCAAAACACTATGGGGGCAATGGCAGAAGTGGAATAAGAAGAGTAACTGGATGATGGGTCTCACTGGTGACATGCCATAGACAAGAAGCAACAAAAGACCTAAAAGTCAAATAAATATATATGGACTTAGGGTTAACCCTCTTCTCAGCAGGAAGCAACAATGACTTCTCCACACTTGCTCCTAAAGGATTTGAAATGTTTTGGAGACAATCCATGCTTCCTGACAGTTTAATATACATACCTCTTTTCTGTAGAAAAGAAGCAAAATGGAAAAAAATCCCCGAGGGAGACAAAAAAGCAGTTACTGGGGAAAGAAACTACCATATATTCAAAAAGCACATTTCCCGATTTCCTGTTTTGATTGCCTAAGAAGCCAAACTTACTTCTTTAAAAAGGTATCTCAAGTGACTGAAAAGTAGCCAGACATGTTTTACATTTTAAGGTATTAAGTGATGATACTGACTGCGGTTATTTCCGGTCAGTATCAAGAAGCCCGTGTTTTATTGCAGCAAACACAGGTACAGGGAAACCTCCCAGGTGGTCGCTTCAGCTCTACGTGGAGCTCCCGTTACTTCGTAACATTCACCCCCAAGGCCCTTCGTATAACAGATCACGAGTTTTAGTTCAGCGTAAAATAGTGGTCCAACATATACCAAAGAAGTGGTTTTGCTACTGCTTAAACCATAGCTTGTCTATCATCACGAAAACCAGAAATCATGAGCACGTCAAGGCCTGTAAGAAATAAACGGACGCGATAATTTCCGCGAAGGATCAGTAAAGACAACAGCACCTTACAAGGCTCTAAAATAACACCTCAATCTCTAATGATCCGGGCTCAACGGCCCAAGGTCACACACACACACACACACACACACACACACTCACCCACCCACCAAGTGGGTAACTAGCTAATAAAAAATCCAAGAAATGATGAGCCTCCTGCAGCTCAGGACAACTGTGGCTAGGAATGGAGGCTGGGTTTGGGAACACTCGCGTCAAAGCATTAATGTGAACAACGCCAACCGAATGCAGGGGCTCCGTGGGGGAAAAAACAAAACAAAACAAAACAAAAAACCCAGGCGTTTCTGGAAGGATTTCCTTCCATTTCCCCAGTCTTCCCTTCCTTAATCACCCCCAACACTCACATCTCCGGAGCCACTTCATCCAATGGTAGACGATAGTAGTGTGATGTTTCTTGTTCTCTATACACCAAGAAGACAAGCCTTGAATAGATTCCATGGTGTTAGTTACCGACTGGAATTTTCGATCCAACGAGGACTCCAGAGCCCCTGCCGAAGAGGCCGACGAGGAGGAGGCCTTACTGCTGCCTCCGCCGCCGCCGGCCGCCATCTTCCCGGTTTGCACAAGCGCTGCTGCTCCTCTGGCGGCGGCGGCGGCGGCGGCGGCGGCGGCGGCGGCGGCGGGAGCGGGCAAAACAATCGCTGAGAGTGCGTGAAAGCCGTAGGTGGGGAAGGAGGCCAGGGGGTGGGGATGGTGCACGCGCTAGGCTCTTCTAGAGGTAGGACGGGAGGACCCGCTGCTGGGCACGCTGGTGGCTCCTACACGCTCTAAGGAAGGGCTGCGGGTATCGAAGGTTTATCAGAATTGTTCAAGGGGTTGTGTTTAAACCAGTCAATAATCACGAAAGAACTGCGCAGAAAACGGATCCTGCAAAACCTTTCCAAACGCCTGGCCCCGAAACTAATGGTTTTACACTCTTCAGCTCTCAAAGCTAAGGCTCTTCCCCACTCCTATCACCACGCTCCTGTAAAGCTGGGCGTTAATATCTTAAATTTAATACTACCCGACTGCCCCTTCAGTTGCAGAAATCTTTCTCCTTTAGATCCTCTAGCACAGAAAAGGCCCAAGGCTACCTAGCCTGGATTTTTTTTGCAACGCAATAGCAGCAAAGGGACAGCAACAGTATCGCGCACGCGCCGCTTCGCTCCGCCTCCCCGCTTCCTTCTCAACCTAGAAAGCAGAGGGAGGCGTGATGGCGGGGCAGTCTGGCCAATCAAAGGACCAGAACGAGAAGCGCGCGCAGAAGCCCTCAAGCTCTAAGGGCCAAGGAGGCGCTACGATTATTTGTACGCTTGCGCACCAGACCGGCGTGTAGAGGGCTAGGAGGAAAAACCCGGAGGAAGGGTGAGGGAGTTGGTCAAACTAAGGAGAGGTCGGGGGTGGGGCTTCACCGCTCTGCCCCGCCCTTTATTTCCTAGCGAGGTCTCCCTCTTGGGATTGTCAACTCTTACAGCAGGCTGGGTAATTCCCACCGCTCAGGGGTCACTTTACTCTCTGGCAGCTACTGCCGCTGCAGCTGCCGCCGCCGCTAACTCCTCGGGGCTCGACGCGCGACAAAGTGGCTGGGCGCCATCTTGCAGTGCCTCAAAAGATGCGCATGCGTCAGCTCCGGCGAGCCATTCACTACGCAGACTCCCAAATCAAACAATATTTTACACTCCCGTTGGATGGTGCCATTCATAGCCGGTAGGCTATTTGGATTATAGGAAGAGGAAGTAAATGAAGTGAAACGAAGAATTGCCTAGTAAAATTTTCGAGACGAGAAAATAGAAGGCGAGAAGTGATCTCACCTTTGCGGGTTATAATAGCCTCACAACTGCGTAATACATTATCGTTTACAAGAGCCCTAGCCGACTATTGTATTGATTAGCACAACCTAGATTAGCCTTCCCATCGTATCTGCTTATGTAAATCCTCTGGGCAGATTTGGAGGCTCCTGTGTTCCACTAAGTACATGCAGTTACTGTATTTTTAAGTCTTTTACGTCTCCCCAAAGAACTCATCGTTTCCTGAGGCAAGGAATCTGTTTTGTCAAACTCATATCTAGTGTTCATTCGTTCAACAAAAAGTTGGTGAACGTTTTGTGCTAAGTATAGTTCTAGATACTGGGAAGTAAAATAGCAAAAAAAATATTCTACCTATGGGGCTTAGTAGCAGGAGATCATAAACAAATACGGGTCAGGGAGTAATAAGTTCTATGAAGTAGTAGTGTGTGGAACCAAGAAGCTACTTCTCTGAAACAATGTAAGAAGGAGAGAGAATTTTGTTTATGAGATCCTGTATGAGAAGGGCAATTGGTGATCGAGGAAGGCTTTTGGAAGGAAATGACACTTAGCTGAACGCTGAGAGTAAGGTAACCCAGCAGATCTTGGGAAGGGGGAGGAGAACGTGCTGGATCAGCCAAGTGCAAAGGACTCCAACTGTGTCTTGACCTATTCCAGGAAGAAAAAGGAGGCCCATGTGGCTGGAGAAGAGTAGTGTACAAGAAGCAGAATATCAGGTCTGACGTGGAGGGAGGGGGTTCTTGGAAGACCTTGCTGGTGACTGTAAGGATTCTGGCTTTTTTTTTTTTTTTAATAAAGATTTTATTTATTTATTTGACAGAGATCACAAGTAGGCAGAGAGGCAAGCAGAGAGAAAGGAAGGGAAGAAGACTCCCCACTCAGCAGAGAGCCCGATGAGGGGCTGGATCCCAGGACCCCGGGATCATGACCTGAGCCGAAGGCAGAGGCTTTAACCCACTGAGCCACCCAGGTGCCCCAGAATTCTGGCTTTTAACTTTGAGATGGGGAGCCATTTAAGCAGAGAAGTTTTAAGTAGGGAAGTTACAACCCACGTAACTTTTTAACTGGTTGCTATGTTGAAAACAGATTTAAGAGCCACCATTCAAGGAGGCTATTGGAATAATCCAGACAAGGAAACCATGGCTTGTACAAGAGTGATAGCAAAGAGATAATAAGTGGTGTCAGATACTGGAGATAGATGCAGATATAGATATAAATATAGATATAGATATAGATATAGATACAGATATAGATATATTTAAAGATTTTATTTATTTATTTGACAGAAAGAGAGAGATCATGAGTAGGAAGTCAGAGAGAGGGGGAAGCAAGTTCCTTGATGAGCAGAGAGCCCGTTGCAGGGCTCAGGGGGTCAATCCCAGGACTCTGAGATCATGACCTAAGCCGAAGGCAGACGCTTTACCCACTGAGCCACCCAGGCACCCCATGATCCTGGATATATTTTGAAGACAGAGTCAAAAGAACTGCTCATGGAGTTAAGGTGAGTATGAGAAAAACAAATGAGTCAGGTACAACACCACAGTTTGTGACCTGAGCAGGTAGACCAGTATTTCTCTGCTTTTTTTATTTTTAATTATGTTGCACCTGAAGATCCTTTTTAAATATTTTTTCATAATCACCCAGCTCACATTGAATTTTAATGCCACAAATAAACTATATATCTGTTTATGTGCTGTATGCTTTATTCAATGCAGAGTAAAGCAGTACTAAAATCTTTGGGGCACCTGTGTGGCTCAGTTAGGAGAGCATGCAACTTTTCATCTTGGAGTCATGGGTTTGAATCCCATATTGGGTGTAGACATTACTTTAATAAATAGATTTTTTTTAAAAAGTACTAATACCACAAGTTAAAAATTAAAAATTTTAAAGCGGGGGTGCCTGGGTGGCTCAGTCGGTTAAGTGTCTGCCTTTGGCTCAGGTCATGATCCCAGAATCCTGGAATTAAGTCCCACATCTGGCTCCTTGCTCAGTAGGGAGGCTGCTTCTCCCCTCTCTCTCTACCTGCTGCTCCCCCTGCTTGTGCTCTCTGTCAAATAAATAAATAAAATCTTTAGGGTGCCTGGGTGCCTCAGTGGGTTAAGCCACTGCCTTCAGCTCAGGTCATGATGTCAGGGTCCTGGGATCGAGTCCCGCATTGGACTTTCTGCTCAGCAGGGATCCTGTTTCCCTCTCTCTCTCTGCCTGCCTCTCTGCCTACTTGTGTTCTCTCTTTGTCAAATAAATAAATAAATAATCTTTTAAAAAAGAATTTTTAAAAATCTTTAAAAAGAAATTTTTAAGCTATTAATATTTAAAATCTTTATAACTACATTTGCTGAGTAAACTTTAATGTAATAATTTATTTACTTACATAAATTATAATTTATGGCCATTACATATGCAAATTGGTGGTTTACACAAATACATAATAGCAATGTAATCACTTTTTTAAATCATTCAAAATTGTGGCTGGCTGGCTTAGTTGGTTAGGTATCTGCATTTGACTCAAGTCATGTTCCTGGGGTCCTGGGATAAGTCCTCATTGGGCTCCTTGCTCAATGGGGAGCCTGCTTCTCCCTCTCCCTCTGCCTACTGCTCCCCCTTCTTGTACCGTCTCTCTCTGTTGAATAAATGGACAAAATCTTTTTAAAAAATGAAAAGAGGAATACCTTGGTGGCTCAGTTGGTTAGGCATCTGCCTTCCACTCAGGACATGATCATAGGGTCCTGGGATGGAGTCCCACATCAGGCTCCTTGCTCAGTGGGGAGCCTGCTTCCCCCTCTCCGTGCTGCTCCCCACTGCTTTGCTTTTCCTTTCTCTCTCTAATAAATAAAATCTTTAAAAAAAAAATAAATCCTTCAAAATTGTTTATATTTCCAGCAAAACAATTGAAAAAATTGTTTCTTCAAAATTTTTAATGAATTTTAAATTTTTATTTGCCATGAGAAAATTACTAACTAGTTGTTCAGATATTGTTGACATTTTTTCCTTCTCAGCGTTTGACAGAGTTAATGATGAACTGAATAACAAAGGTAAAATTAAATAATAAAATACAAACTATTTTTATTTGCTCCTCAAAGCCCAAGTCATACACAAAAGCACTCAGAATCAAAAATGATATTCACAAGGCACTACATGACAGCCAAAAAAAATCAGGTATAGGCCACTTCCTTGTATTCAGAACTTCAAAATTAAGGGAAAGTTCTCCAGTCACAGCCTCAAAGTTTTGTAGCATTGACCTTGCATAATTTTGTATATCTTCCATGAACTCAATGTTATTGTTGTTTTTGTCCTATCCAAAAAAAATAGAGAAATTAAGTAAGGAATAAGATTGTGTTGGGTAGGGGGTGCCCAGATGTCTCAGTTGGTCAGGTGTTTGCCTTCAGCTCAGGTCATGGTCTCAGGTTCCTGGGATCAAGCCCTAACATGACCCCAGACTCAGAGTAGAGTCTGCTTGTCCCTCTCTCTCTCCCTCTGTTCCCCCTCCCCTCTGTGCACAGGCTCTTTCTCTCTCTCTTTCTCTCTTTCTAGAGTAAATAAAATCTTTGAAGAAAAGATTTTGGGTATATTTGAGTTTTAGTGAGTTACCACTATAGTATCTATATCTATATGTAATATCTATATATAATATCTATGTATATCTATATATAATCTATATATAATATCTATTATATCTATATATAATATCTATAATATCTAATCACTATAATATCTAAGACTTCATCATGCAAGAGCCAAATTTTTCCCTTTTGTGGGGTGACAATGCCCCCGTTGAAAATGCATGAAATACACATTTTCTCAGATGGACCAGGGAAGAAAGATGGAGGACCAGTCATGTGAGAAATGAATAGGAGTCAGGATTTCAGTTATGGACAGCTTGCGTTTGTGATATCAGATCTATAAATGGCACTAGATATGAGTCTGAAGTTCACAAGAAAGATCTAGGTAGGAAACATCAATTTAAGAATTGTTAGTGTTGGGGGTTGCCTGGGAAGCTCAGTTAGTCAAGCATCCGACTCTTGATTTTGGCTCAGGTCATGATCTTGGGGTCCTGGGATCAAGCCCCACACTGGGCTCCATGTTCCATCCGTGAGGAGTCTGAGGTTCTCTCCCTCTTCCTTGCCGTCCCACTTGCTCTCACTCTCTCTTCCCAAATAAATAAAAATTAATCTTAAAAAGGAGGGCACTTAGTCGTTAAGGGTTTGTATTCGGCTCGGGTCATGATCCCGGGGTCCTGGGATAGAGCCCCGCATCAGGCTCCCTGCTCAGCGGGAAGCCTACTTCTCCCTCTCCCACTCCCCCTGCTTGTGTTCCCTCTCTCATTGTGTCTCTATCAAATAAATAAAATCTTGGGGGAAAAAAAAGCATTGTCAGTATTGGAGCTTCCGGGTTGGTGAACTTGTGGAGATTTGGAAAGAGGCACCCAGAGAGGGCATGGAAGCTGTGCGCCTTTCCCCATAGTTGGCCCTGTGTATCTCTTCATCTGGCTGTTCCTGAATTGTATCTTTTTATGATAAATGGTGATCTAGCATGTTACCCAG